ATGATATTTTAAGTCTAGGTTACATCTCTATTTATAATAGAAAACCCTGGTACATAATTACAAAATCAACCCTGTACCGTACCGCGGGGGCTGCGCCCCCACACCCCCAACCCACATAATTCGTAACCCCACAACGAGACTTTTTATGAGCCATACATAACAAATCTCCACCTTGGCGAATATCCTGCCCCTTGGAAACTTCAATGTGGGTTGGGTTACCTTGCTTCTTTAACAACTCGAAACATTCAACAAGTCCAAGCAATGCTTGAACTTGTCTGTCGTAACTGGCTTGGTGAACATATCAGCGGCATTCTCATCAGTATGTACCTTCTGAAACAAAACCTCTCCAGATGCAACCAACTCTCTGATCTTGTGGAATCTTACATCAATATGTTTAGTTCTAGCACGATACACCTGATTCTTAGCCAAGTGAATAGCACTTTGATTATCACAAAGCAACTGAACTCCACCTTGTTGAACACCCAACTCCTTCACTAAACCAGTAAGCCATAAAGCTTCTTTTGTAGCTTCAGCCGCTGCCATGTATTCAGCTTCAGTTGTAGATAGTGCCACGACAGATTGAACAGTAGACTTCCAGCAAATAGGCCCTCCACCAAGAGTAAACACATACCCTGTCGTAGATCTTCTATTATCCAAGTCACCTGCATAATCTGAATCCACATATCCTACAACCAAAGGATTATCCCGCTGACTCCCAAAAACAATTCCATGTCCCACAGTACCCTTTAAGTACCGAAAGATCCACTTGACTGCATCCCAATGTTGCTTACCAGGTTTAGACATGTACTTACAAACTTGACTAACAGCATGAGCTAAATCAGGACGAGTACATACCATCGCATACATCAAGCAGCCAACAGCATTAGAATACGGAACCTTTGCCATATTTTCAGCTTCCTTATCTGTCTTAGGGCACTGTTCTGATGAGAGCTTAAAGTGATTCGCCAATGGAGTGCTAACTGGTTTCGCGCTGCTCATCGCAAACCTTTCTAGCATTTTCTCAACATAACCCCGTTGAGATAGCCGCAGTTTCCTTGAGTCTCTGTCCCTGCAAATTTCCATTCCAAGAATTTTCTTTACAGCACCTAAATCTTTCATATCAAATTCCTGACTCAATAAAGTTTTCAAACCGATAACATCATCCATGTTCTTCGCAGCAATCAACATATCATCAACATACAGTAATAGAAAAATAAAAGAACCATCATCAAGGCTCTTAACATAGACACAACAATCATACTCACATCGGTTGTAGCCAATCTTGATCATATAGGAGTCAAACCGTTTATACCACTGTCTCGGAGACTGTTTTAACCCGTACAAAGATTTCTTCAATCTGCAAACTAAATGCTCGTTTCCAGGTTGAGTGAAACCTTCAGGTTGCCGCATGTAGATCTGCTCCTCTAAATCACCATGCAAAAAAGCAGTTTTAACATCCATCTGCTCTAAATGCAAATCCCAACTAGCCACCAATGCAAGTACTGCTCGGATTGAAGTGTGCCTGACCACAGGAGAAAAGATTTCATCATAATCAACTCCTTTCTGCTGTGAAAAACCCTTCGCTACCAAACGAGCCTTGAACTTCTCCCCCTCTTTTTCTGTTACTGCTGGTTTCTTCTTATACACCCATTTGCAACCAATCGGCTTCTTACCCTCAGGAAGGGGAACTAACTCCCATGTGCGATTGTGATTCAAAGACTCCATCTCCTCAACCATGGCTGCCATCCACTTGTCGTTTTCCTGACTAGTAACGGCATCATGAAAAGTAACTGGATCATCACTGCTAACAGTAAGTGCAAAAGATACCAAGTCTTCAAAACTCAATCTGTTCGGAGGCTTTATATTCGTCCGTCTCACCCTGTCTCTGGCGAGACTATAATCCTGCAAATCATCCGTAGTGGAACCACCAGAAGTCGGTTGAGAAGTTTCTGGTTTCTCAACTGGAAACTGCTCGAAATCTACCACTGTCGTGTCTTGCTTCTGCTGCAACATAGACTGTTCATCAAAAACGACATCTCTACTAATCACAACTTTCTTCGCAACTGGATCCCAGAACTTGAATCCTTTGACACCTTTCTTGTAACCCAGAAAAATGCACTCCTTCGATTTTGCATCAAGTTTGGATCTCTCATCAACAGGTACATGCACATAAGCAGGACAACCAAAAATCCGTAAGTTATCAAAACTAACATCATGACCAGTCCATACCTCTTCTGCAACTTTCCCAGCCAGCGATGCCCTTGGCGATCTGTTGATAAGGTAACACGCCATGTTAACAGCCTCAGCCCAGAAGTGTTTGGGAAGCCCCGCATTCAACCGCAAACATCTGGCTCTTTCATTCAACGACCTGTTCATTCGTTCCGCAACACCATTCTGTTGTGGTGTCTTGCGCACTGTAAAATGCCTCTGAATCCCATGCTCCTTACAGAATTGTAGGAACTGTGAATCTGTGTACTCCGTACCATTATCAGACCGCAAACACTTGATTTTTCGTCCTGTTTGGTTTTCTACCTCAGCTTTCCACAGCTTGAACTTCTCAAAAACTTCAGATTTCTGTTTCAAAAAATACACCCAAACTTTCCGTGAAAAATCATCAATAAAAGTAACATAGTACCTAGATCCACCCAAAGACGATGTCGTGGAAGGCCCCCATACATCAGAATGCACATAATCAAGAATCCCTTGAGTTGTGTGCTTCGCAGTCTTGAAACGGACTTTAGTCTGTTTACCAAGAACACAATACTTGCAAAAATCGAGCTTACAGCTTTTGACACCATGCAACAAGTTTCTCTTGTGTAATTCTGCCATACCACGTTCACTAAGATGAGCAAGGCGCATATGCCACAATTTTGTCGTATCATCACAGGACTCAACAGAGTGAACTCCACCTGCAACGGTACTCCCTAACAATCTGTAGATATTCCCTGCAGTCATCTTGCCTTTCATCACAGTCAATGCTCCTTTAACAATCCGAATGGTTTCCCTATCCTCGTCAGCCTTAGGGATAAAACCATTCTTGTGCAAAGTGCCCAAGGAAATCAAATTCTTCTTCAAGTCTGGGATATGTCGAACACCACTCAACGTCCGAACGGAGCCATCGTGCATCTTAATTCTGACATCACCAATACCAACAATATTGCAACATCGATCATCACCCAAATAAACCGAACCAGAATTAACCGGCCTGTATGTCGAAAACCATTCCCTATTTGGCGTGATGTGATAAGAACATCCAGAATCAAGAATCCAAGCATCCGTCAATTGTGTCGTTGAAATAGAAAGCATATCACCCTCACTGCAATCAGAAGTATCATCCTCGACCACGTTCACAGACTTGGATGAGCCATCACGCTTCTCATCGGTCTGCTTTTTCAACTTCGGACAGTCTCGCTTCATATGTCCCGCCTCCTTGCACTTGTAACAGTGAATCGTCTTCTTATCCCTGGATTTGGATCTGGAATTCCGCTTCCCGGACCCTGCCTTCTCTGGCTTCCGTCCACGATCTCGATTACCCTTGACATATAAGCTATCGGCTTGAGAGCTTTCCCCTGCATTCTGCTTCCGCTGGTTGTGAGCCAACAAGGCTGCAGTAATCTCCTCAACGTTGATAGTCTCTTTCCCATATGTAAGAGTAGTCACCATGTGTTCGTAAGAGGAAGGCAACGAACACAACAGAATCATCGCTCTGTCTTCATCCTCAATTTTCACATCAAGCCGAGCCAGATCAGAAACGATTTGATTGAAGACATTCACGTGTTGCGCCAAATCGTGATCGTCCTGCATCTTCAGCCCATACAGCCGCTGCTTCAGATACAGTTTTGTCGTTAAGGATTTGGACATAAACTGACTTTCCAACTTCCTCCAAATTTCGTCTGGAGACGATAGATGCATGACGTGATACATGACCTCGTCCGCCAAGCATAATCGTATGGTTCCTGCCGCTCGCTGCTGCAATTCTTCCCAATCTTCCTCATCCATCGACGCCGGCTTTGTAGGTCGCAAAGCCTTCAAGATCCCTTGCTGCGCCAATAGATCCTTCACCCTCGTTTGCCATAATCCGAAGTTACCCTGACCATCGAATTTCGCGACTTCGAATTTTGCTCCTGAGCTCTGATACCAATTGTTGACGAAAACGGGTAAAGAAAACGAAAGAACACGAGAATTTTACGAGGTTCGGCAATGTGCTTACGTCCTCGGTGCCTAGGCGGTGCTAGAAGTTTTATTCAATGATATTTTAAGTCTAGGTTACATCTCTATTTATAATAGAAAACCCTGGTACATAATTACAAAATCAACCCTGTACCGTACCGCGGGGGCTGCGCCCCCACACCCCCAACCCACATAATTCGTAACCCCACAACGAGACTTTTTATGAGCCATACATAACAATAATAAATTGGTTACACAACATTAACTAATGTGAGTGATGAAAACTGAGTTAGGGTTATAAATATGATGTTAAGGTTTTGTTGGGGCTTCAACTTTCAATTGTAAGGGTTTGATTTAGTTTGAGTCCTTGAACTCTTAGAACAAGACTAGGATTGATATTTGTTTTGGTGTTGCTACTTTAGGTTAGGATTGTAGAGAGAATGATAATGGTTCGAGAAATATATCATAATAGTTGACGGTGTAGATCGAGATTCAAGATGTTTGAACATTTTAGGTGATTTCTTTTGAAAGAAATTCTTAGAAATTTAATCTGATGAGTTGAACGAGAAGATCAATGATAAGCTGTTAGCCGTATAGATAAAATTTGATATTCATTAACCATCATAAATGACTAGATTTTATATTACATATACATTGATTGTCATAATTGATTAATTGAATGGCTCTATTGTAATTTTTATAAAATTTTCATATAATTGAATTGAGATCTAACGGTAACAGCCACTTAATTTCCTCTTTTACTTCGATTCCCAAGTTCATTTCAGTTACTCTCCTCCTCCCGCCGCCGCATCGTGGCCGATTCGGCAACCATGCCCCTCAAGGTCATCGCCGAAGCTGATTCCATCAGCGCCGAGCTAAAAGACGCCATGGTAGCGCACCTCCGCTCCCTCAACATAGAAGTCGAAGACCTCGGAATCAACTCCTACTACAACATCGGCGCTGAAGCCGGCCCACGAGTCTCTTCCGCCACCACCTCCCCCTCCGTGGAAACCCGTAGCCTCCTCGCACGCGGAACCGGTGTCGGAGTCGCGATCTTCGCCAACAAATTCCCCGGCGTATTCGCCACAACTTGTCTCACGAGGGACGAGGCTCGCAACAATCGCTCCATAAATAACTGCAACGTTTTGGCACTCTCCGGCATGACGACGCCGATCGACACAGCAAGGGAAATCGTGGATACTTGGCTCAACACTCCTTTCAAATCGCCGTGTCCGGCGTCAAAATCTCAGCCTTGGCAGGAGGACAGAGAGAAATTTCTGGATGAATCGATGAATGAAATGCCTCAAATCGGTGCTTACGAAAAATCTAGCCTTGGCCCGAGCACATATCCTTTTAATATTACATTGATATACTTTAAGAGACATATTAATTATATCTTTTAAAAATAATTATATCACAAATAAATACTTAAATAGTATATTTTGTTTTTATTAAAAACTTAATTTTTTTAGTAAAATAAATATCTAAAGTTATTTTTTAATTAGTAAAATAAATATCTAAAGTTATTTTTAATCAAAATATGTACTTACAGTATTTTATGTCAAAATACATACTTAAAATTTTTAAAAATTTTCATCTAAATTCTAAAGAAGTTGACATATGACATTAATTGAATAGTTCTTTAGATACTTGAATGAAAAATTGAATACTTTAAACACCTATTTTAATAAAAAAAAGATAATTTTATATATTTATTTTGACAAAAAAATATTTGAAGTAGTTAAAAAATAATATACTTTAAATACTTATTTATTATATAAGCCTGATACGATAAGATACACATTTGATTTACTTGATACTAAACACGTTAAAAAAATGTATTGTTACCTCAAATTGAAGTATAATATTTTAATATATATATTTATTGAATGATTGAAGATAAATTTTATCCGTACACTTTCATTCATTGGTATTGTTCGATTCATTCTTTCACGTGTTGTGTTAAAAACATCTTTATTCGAGTGTGTTATTGAATTTTAAGTAAAGAATGTGACTAATAATTAATGAGTGTTATTTTAGAATGAAAAAGAACCCAATAAATTGATGTATGCAATCTCTGTCTGCTTGTGTTTGAGTAAATAAAGTTTATGGTTTTATGCATCGAGATCACTACTTTCGTTTTAAGAGAAAATAACTTCAGTGACCAAAAATCTCAGATAATATACGATTTTGACCAACTCTTTTTGGATTTGCGAAAATGACCAACAAAATCGCAATGCGATCTCTCCACTATCGCAAATTCGCGTTGCATTTCGCATTGCGATAATTGAAAATCGCGTTGCGATTTTCCATTTCGCGTTGCGATAGTTGAAATTCGCGTTGCGATAGTTGAAAATCGCGTTGCGATTTTCCATTTCGCGTTGCGATAGTTGAAAATCGCGTTGCGATTTTTCATTTCGCGTTGCGATTTTTCATTTCGCGTTGCGATAGTCTACAATGTCGTTACGATTTTCCAAATTCGTTGCGATAGTTAAAAAAAAGATTTTGTTTCTTAAGAATTTTCTCTAAAAAGATAGTATCCGCGCGGAAGTGTCGAAGACACGTATTACCACGACCACGACCACGACCACGACCACGACCCGACCCGACCCGACCCCAGACGAGACGAGACGGACGGCGGCGGGGGCGCGCGAGAGTCCCCCTTGTTCTCTATCACTTAACAAGGAAGTGGGAAAACCAAGCCTTAAATACCATTCCCAATAGTGTTTCCAATACTATGTGGGATTTGAGCATTACCAACACTTGTTCCCAATACTATGTGGGATTGAGCCTTAAATAGTGATATTATTTTTGAATGTTTTGCTTAAAATTGCAATAATCGCGATTGATTGTAGATTGACTTTTAATTATGACATATTTAATCGTATAATACTAATGCAATTGGTTGCTGATTCAGTTGTTTTAAGGTGCATGATTGTTAATTGTTTCCTGAATAATCACATTGTATTGGAAACAAGTGTTGGTAATGCTCAATCCCACATAGTATTGAAAATACTATTGAGAATGGTATTTAAGGCTTGGCTTTCCCACTTTCTTGTTGAGTGATAGAGAACAAGGGGGACTCTCGCGCGCCGCCGCCGCCGTCCGTCTCGTCTCGGGTCGGGTCGGGTCGGGGTCGGGGTCGGGGTCGGGGTCGTGGTCGTGGTTTTCAATTATCGCAACGCGATTTTCAATTATCGCAACGCGAAATGCAATGCGAATTTGCGATAGTGGAGATCGCATTGCGATTTTGTTGGTCATTTTCGCAAATCCAAAAAAAGTTGATCAAAATCGTATATTATCTGGGATTTTTGGTCACTGAGGTTATTTTCTCTCGTTTTAAATTACAATACTTGCATGGTGTTTTCCGGTTGTTTTGATGTTAAATTATTGCATGTTTTATGCTTGTAAATGACCAAATTAAGAATGGTGATCAAGCTAGGAAGATTTTATACCTTTTCATTGGCTAAAAGTAGTTGTTGGTCTTAATTTTGAAGTCACGATATCAAAATTAATCCTCAATACTTGTTAAAAATAATCGTTTTGACCCATAATATTTTTTCGAACATTTTGACCCTCAATGTTTCATTTTAAGACAAAAATACCTATGACATTTAACAGAACAGTCGCTTTGGCTCACAACATTTTGTTTTAGGGTAAAAATGTCATATTTTGAAGCGTTAATCGTGTTAACTAATGATTTCAATCCATAGAATGGCTTTTTTACCCAAAATGAAACGTTGGGAGGCAAAGTGCTAAAGAAAAGAATATAGGCCAAAATGACCATTTTGATAAATGTTGAGGGCTAACCTTGGCATTATGCCAAATTCTGAAACTCATTTGCTCCAATAATCTGAACTGTCAACTTTTTTAGTACTATATAATCATTGAAGTGTGTGTGAAAAATAATGAATCAAGTATTTATACAAGGCTTAACTCATCAGGAATCTGTTGTTGAGATCCAATTGCAGCAGCACGCTTCTTTTGCAGTGCCACTAACTCTTCCCCAGCATCACATATGTAGGCTGCTGCTTGTCTTCCAGACAAAGTCGCTCCTTCCATGCTATCTATGTAATCCTGCACACAGTCGAACCATGTAAAACTTATAACTCATTTCTTGCACCGGAACCCGGATTTCGGTTTCACAAGAATGACCTGGTAACCAGTGTTCGATAACTCGACATTTCTAAGATGGAAAAAGAAAAGTAGAACTTGCCTGCTTTGTATAAGATCCGGCCAGAAAGAAGTTCTTTATAGGTGTCTTCTGATCAGGTCTGGATGGATCTTTACCAGGTCCTTCACGATATAGAGATTGCCCGATTTTGACAACAGATGACCAAGTAACTTCTAAACCTCGGGATGAGGGGAATAAGTCTGAAACCTGTCAACAAAACAGGAAGATTAAAAATGCCACCATCATGAGAGGTAAATTTCAATAACCTTCATGAAAATACGATCCGTTCAGAAAGTGGAAATGAACTCAGACAATCATTTTGCTCTATTGAAAATTGCATTCAACTTAAGGACAAGGGTTGCTTGAAGTTTCCAACCTGCTTTGCTACTCTCTTTATGATTTCTTCATTCGGAAATGGCATGTAAGGGTCCCCTGGTGTCAAGACGCATCTGAAGCACAGCATCAAAGTAAGTATTCGGTCAAAAGAGAACCGGGTGAAGTTTCAACAGAGTTATAGAAATATACACAAGCTCCTATTTACATGTCATCAAATTTTGGTCCAAACCCAACAATTAAAATGGTATAACTATAACTGATGAAATAGTATTTATATGTTTAAGATTGAAACCAGTTGTTCTTTTTCGTTTTTAAGTCCATAACTGCGAAGATAGCTAGTAATATAGGAATATGTAACAAAAGAGTAAAAAGCATTGCAAAATGTAAATATACGAAGTAATAACACTAGGAAAAAGCATGGTCTTACTGAAGCAATGAACCTTGTCCCTCAATGTAGTAATCTTCTGGAGAAGTGAGAGCTAAGTCCGCAAAGCAGGAGAAATCCGCATCCGGAGTGTACAGGAGATTATTGAGACCGGCAGCTTCCCTCAGCTGCCTTTTAATGAGTTAAGGACAAATGAGGAAACGAAGCACAATAAGCAACTTGTTATTTCTTATGAAGCAAATCAGGATGCTTTTATTAGGCTGTTAAAAAGAACCCACTTTATTAGAAAGAATTACCTTGACCGCTCCAGAGGACCAGATCCCATAACTCCGTGACCCAGCCATTGTACCTAAGTTGTACGGTAACAACTGTTACTCCGAAATTCAGCTCAAAATTGTAGAAAAAGAATCTCTTGGAGAATTCAGCTCAAAATTTCGATTTTTCTTAATACTACAACATTGGAAAAGAAAACATTGGAAGAGATAATGGGTGTTAAGTGACTTTGCCACTAACCGACAATGGACCAGTAGGGATGGCAAACGGGTAGATTAGGTGCGGATACCCCTCCCCATCCACATATCCACTTAATATTTTTCAATCCCCCACCCGCCCTCCACTCATGATGGGTATAAATTTTCAAATTCACACCCGCCCACGCGGGTACATTTTTAAATCCATCCCCACACCCACTACCACTAGCGACATACCCATCTAGACCCGCCTGACAGCAAACTAATGGGATGTTGGAGTTGATTCCTAGACAGTTCGTGATGGGGTAGCAACGCATGCTTCAATTTGTCAGAGGAGTGGCTCTACGAATGTTATGGAGACAGATTGTAGGGAGCATGTAGTCGCAGAGCTGGATTGTTGAGTTACTTTCGATGTTAATGCTCATAGTTCGCCTAATATGAGTTTTGAGGGACTAAAGAACATGGAAAATGTTGCTTTTGATGTTAATGCATATAGTACGGTTAATTTGTGTTTGGATGGGCAGCATGAGCTAAAGAATATGGAAAGTGACGCGGTTAGTGAGATTATGTGTTTAATCAAAGAGTCGAATATTTCCCTAATTAAAGATCAGATTAAAGACTAAATATCCTTAATATTTGGTTAAATTATATGTTATATATTATATAATATTAAAATTTATAAATTAGTCTCTAAAATTACACCTAAATTCATAATGGTCCAAAATTTAATAGATATTTAGCTGGGCGGGCGGGCGGATGTGGGGCGGGCGGATGCGGGGCGGGTAATGTCTCAAACCCATTACCCGCCCACCACCCATGATGGGTACCACTTTATAAATTCACACCCACCCACTACCCGCTAAAATTATACCCATCTCCGCTCTAATCGAAACGAATGTGGTACGGAATCCACGAAACTGTATTCGTTTGCCATCCATATGGACCAGCCAAAACCAAATGCTTTTGTTGATGTTGGTTTTAAGTGAATTGTCTAAGGAAGAGGAGCCCTCTCCTCCTTACAGTTGCCTATTTTATGGCTTGCTGACAACGTGACTCCGTATTAGACAACTAGTTAAGGCATTTATAATATTAATGTATATTAAGTTTTGAGATTTATATCTATAATCACTTGGTCAGTGAGATAAAACATTAAAATCTTTAAAAAAAGATTAAGGATTTAAATTATGACGTTAACAAATTTAATTTAACCCTTAAAATATGATGGAAACATCAATTTATTTTTATTATAAAAAATTAATTCACAATTTTTATATATAATATAATATAATTTTAATATTAAAATCTAAATAAATTATATACTTTTCAAATAATTCTAAAAATTATAAAAAAAATGTAAAAAAATTGGGGAAATACTTAAAATATAAAAATTCCGGATCTTTTCTTAACCCATTTTCTTTTTAATTCATCAACCTTTCCAAATTTCTCAAAATCAAAACTAAAAAAAACCCCCAAAAAATAGAAGGAAAAAAGTTGCTAAAAGGAGCGATATGTTGATGGGTTCTTTCACCACACGGTGGGCATTTTGGTGGCCATACTAGAGCTTGGTAGCTTAAAATGGAGAGAGAGGAGAGCTCCAAGGTTGCTTAAAGGTATAAATAAACACGATGATGAGTGCAACAATATTTTGTATAATTTCATTTCGATGTATTCGAGTTAAGATGATCATGGTGCTAGTTGTTTAAATGATCTTGATATTTGCAATGATAATGATAACATCCCTTATATCTACAATCATAATGTAATTGAAAACGAGTTCGTAACTACAATATTTTTAATAATATGAGGTGATTATAAAATAGTATTTATTCAAAATTTTCTTAATCTTGATAGCGCACGTTGATGGGTAACAACGGGAGAAGCATCAAAGGTCCAAATACAAATCTAAGAAAAGAGCTGTTAATTTACAGTGTAAGGAGAAATTCAAGGATTTTTTTTACTTCCCACTAGCTTTTTATTTTTGCTGATATATCGGTACTAAAGGGGGCTTCATTGTTTTGATTTAATATGGGGTGATTGAGATTCTACCAGCATGGACCAAAGGACATGAGCATCCTCATCTGTGCATGACTTCACATCTTCATACAAAATATATAACCCTCTGCCTGAAAATCACAAAAAAAAAATACTATAAAAACATGTTCAATCTTGTTTAAGGTATCGTATGCTGCAAAAGATTGCAGAAGAAATGAAAGAATGAAGTGAAATGTAAGAACTCTTTGTTGGAGCCGAATGCAACCGGAACCAGAGCTTCTTGAATGGGAAGAGGAGGGATCTGCACCGCCCCATTTTGGCAAAATGGAGTGATTCATGGTGAATGAAGCATTTAGAGGGGGGCCGAAAGAAAGAGAAAGAACGTTGCTTTGCTTAGACAATGGTGAATTATAGATTACAATATCTACCACCTTATTCCATCTTTTTCTTTTCCGCAGGCACAAAGGTGCAAAAATGGCAAGCTAATTCAATGTTTGGTGGTCTGTCTTTTTACAAACCTGACATTCAATATTTGTTCCGTTTCCGGGTCAAGTCTCCAAGGGAGATTGGTACCATGGAAATGAGCCAGTCACTCAAATATTGTCCACTCAAATCTTAAAGCAAGTCATTTAGACGATCCAGTGAAGTCAAATGCTTTCAGTATGGGGTTTATGACAAGTTTATTAGTAGACAGTGATTTGAAACTATGTAATGTGATAAGATTAGGTCATAGGCGGTGAATCTTAAGGTCAAAACTTGAGTTGGTATTTGACTGACATCATACATACATACATACATGCAGAGATACACATATACATACAACTGATGCATATATACACAGATACATACATGCATATACATGTACTTATAGAGTCTTTTGATAGAACATGCATTGCTAGGTTTTAGATTATATGACTGCAAAAATTAGGATTCTTCTTCCCCATACTTTGAAAAAACAAAGCTCTTTCTGTTTTTCAGCTGGGTTAACTCACAAGACAGATACTACCATTTTCCATCCACGACCTTTACTTGATGGGAGTCAATTGTAACACCCTCATACCGATACGGGTGACCCGATCCGATACGAGGTGTCACATTAGTACAACCATAGCGACCCACAGTAAAAACACAAGAAAATAAAATTTTTGTTAAATCATTTAAAAACCGTAAAACAATTATAACACAATTTTAAAAAAAGCCACTCATATATTAATACAGAACTCAATAATGTTGTACATTAAATCAAGTTACAAACTTCATATGAAAATAAATGTGACCTACATGCCCTCTAATTATACAAGTACCATCTCTGCAAGCAACGCCAAAGAAACTTCAATTACTAATGTCGATACTGCACGTGGACAATTCTTTTAATCTGAAAAGGTGAGTAACGTAGTAAGTTTTGAGAAAGCTCAGTAATACAAAACTATCAAATGATGCTAAAGGACAAGTAGATATAGCATGCATAACATTTCCTCAGTTACCCAAGCATATACAAGTCATAGTGATAAGTTGAGGTTTCACTAATTAATTCTTCATGTAACAATCAGTAAGCTTATAGTTCAGAGGGAACATTCAGATAAACAAAGTCAGTAGATAGATCTGGGAGTCTAGTGTGTTCCAACAAAATCAGAAATAATAGTTTATTTTAGTAAAACAGATTTTTAAAAACACAATAATACCCTCCACCCAAACACTCCATATACAATTCCCTAGAACTACATTCATAAGGACTTACCTTAAGTCTATTGGGCATATGAGCCAACCTAAGGGAACACTTTAGGTCCATTAAGACTTACCCCAGAGTGCCCCCAGGTCCATAAGGACTTATCCTAAGCACAAAGCAAATGAGCCACCTAAGTGATTGCCTTAGGGTCCATAAGGTTTTACTATTAGGCCTAGAATCCCACCCAAGGGTTGCCTTAGGTCCATAAGGATTTACCAGCTTGATCGGAGCTGAACCTGCAAAACTTCATAACATATCCCAGATATTACCCCAGTATAAAACATGTTAACTAGTAAACAAAAATATCAAAATCGAGAGTCGGATGTATCCATTATCAAAAACCAGAGATCAGAAATCAGATATATAAAAAACAAAGATTAAAAACCATGTTTTTATTTCAAATATCAGAGTCATACTCTTAAAACTAGAGAAAAATATTTACGACCACAAGGAACACACTAGAGGATTCTGATATCTTTCCGGAGGCGCTTGGTAGTAATCAGGAAAGGAAACATGAAACTTCTATAAATTGATCGAATTTCGGAACCAAAATCCCTATACAAAGGGTTTGACTATTAACAGATAAAATCAGTCATTTAGAAAATGATGTTTTAAAACCATTTAAAATTTAGGGTGCATTAGAAAGGTATTCGGGAACTTTACATCAGAAGTATTTAAGATTTGGGCGTAACATGAGTGATTCCATTACTCAGGCAATCTAGAGCATTTTAGTCATTTTGCTACTCGGAGAAAACATGGTAATTTGGTTTAAGAAGGATAAAACATATTTGTTTTACAGTATTTCAGATTTCTGATGATTTAACAGGCCTTCAATTTCCATCAAACAAATCAGACTTCAGCAGTGTGGTATTTAATAGGTGAAACGGTAGTCCTATCAGACCAAGAATGAACTTTTAGGTCAATTTCACTATTTGGGTCAATTCAAGTCCCTTTTTACTTCATAAGGGTATTTTCATAATTTTTATCCAAACATTCCTAGAATTAGAACTTTTAGTGAAATTATGCAGCATTTAAGGATCCTGAGGTTAATCCCTTCATTCATTATTCACTAACCTTGAATTTATTTCTTTTTGGCCTACTAGTTCCTTAAACGAGTCATCTAGCTTCCTATCCGAGTCATTCGAACCGTATTTAAAACACTATCTTTATTCTATATTCAGTACTAGTTTTAGAGTAATCAATGATGAGCACACGATTAAACATTTTTATTAACGCATTTCTCCATTACCAACTAGTTTCATAAAGCATACAAAAGGTAGTAATGTATTACCTCGATTTTCATGCCACATCGATCGACCATTTAAACTTCATTCAATCACCCTTGAACTTGAATTTAGCGTCTCATAATATCTCAGATTCAACGTAAAACAAATTACGTCATAAACAAAATTTAATCAGGAAAATTATTCAAATCTGAAGATAAAACGTTGAAAAGTAGCTTGCCGACTTCAAATTTGGCAAAACGGACTTTGAATTCGGACTTAGGACATCAAAAAACATAAAATATGACTTTTTGAAAAATTTTGACTTTTTGGTTGAAGTTATCAGTCAACGCTGGTCAAAGTCAAAGTCAAATTCAACATGTATTGTCAATGATCAAGTCAAAGGTCAATGGTTGGGTCAATGGGTTGACTTAGTACGGTTTGAGTTGACTCGGTCTGAGTTGACTCATTTTTTAGATGATTCGATCGGTGGAGAAGCCCACGCGTCGAGGCAGCGCGTGGGACGACGATGGAGCTGGGTTTGACGATCCAATTACTCCAATAGCATCATCTCACAATTATCAACCCAAAACAACCCTTGAATCCAACCAAACAATAACACAAAATGAATAGAGAAAGAAACCTGAGCACTTACCACGACGACCAACTAAAGAACGACAAGGAGGCGACGAACTCAGTCGAGTTTTGATCAGAACTGTCTGATGAATCCAATGGCACAGACAGTGAGATAAACGAACGGTGGGTTTGATCGGGAATCGCGAAAACATCGTTGTAATTTTAAGTTGTTTCAGTGAATCTTTCGTGGAGCTCTCCATGGCTAATGGCGGCGTTCCACGGCAAAGGGAAAGAGAGATTTTGGTCGTATGGCGTATGGGAGTCCAGTGGCGATGGTGGTGCGATGCATGGACGTTGAAATTGGTCAAAATCAAAGAAAACAACCGACGACGATGGAAGTTCTCGACGAGTCTTCAATCGACTCTTAACGACGAACATCAGGGTTAATCAACAAGGTAAGGGTCGGGTTTTGCTCGGTGTTGGACGGTGCTTTGACTGGCACCCGTGGAGCCGAATGACGATGGTTTAGCATGGTTTTCAGAACCGGTCCGGTTAGTGAACCAGTCATGCTATCGGTTCACTGGTTCAACTGGTCGAATCGGTCTGACCGGTCGGAAGAACCGGACGACGTCATAATTATTTAAAAAATTAAATAAAAATACCAATAATATTTAATAAAAAATAATTTTGTATATCATAAGTCATATTCAAAGCAAATCATAACATATATGAGTTAAAAACCATAAAATCAAGTGAAAAAAAATGATTCAAATTAACTACAACATAATATTTAAGATAAAACATATTAAATAATAAATATAATTATATAACTATAATTAAAAAATAAATTTGGGGCTAAAAAAATCATAACAAAATGATATTGTTTGGTTTAATTTTTTTTTTAAAATCTCACATGACTAAGAAACATAGAAGAACATCTCAAAAGTCTAAAGAGTAAAAATATGAGAACAAAACAATTTACATGGCTAAGAAACATAGAAAAACATCCCAACTAACTTCTATAAATAATAGAGGTAATTTGACATTCAAAATCATGGAGTCTTTTGGTGAGCATAGAGTGAACTATTCTTTCACTTCAATCAAGCTCGAATTTTAGGCTTCAATCGAGCTTCTAATTTTCTTTTGAGTTCAAGCCTTTTCGAGTTCAAGTTTCAATATTATATTTCGAGTTCGAGTTGAACTTGATAATTTTTAGTTCGTGAGTTTGAGTCCAGTTGAGCTTACTTTTAAAGTTTGAGTCGAGCTCAGCAATACTCGAGTTCGACTTGGCTCGTTTAACAAACGACGTCGTTTGGTTTAATTTTAAAAAAAAAACAAAATTAGCGGTTTTTTTTTCTTCAGTTTTTCCCGGTTTTTTCAGGCGGTCCGGTTCGAACGGTTCAACGATTCCGGACGGTTCACTAATAACGGTTCAATCGGTTTAGTTTAAACCGGACTAGACAACGGTTTACAGTTGAACCGGCCGGTCCGGTCCAGTTTTCAAAACAATGTGGTTTAGACAAAATTTAGGGGTTTTGTTTCGAATTTGATTGGGGAGATTTTTGGGATATATGTTTGATCCATAATCAATTCTCTTATTCATTTTGTTGAGAGATTTTCGGTTTCATTATATTGTAAAACATGTTATTATTATTTTATATTATTATATCTTCTATTAAAAAATATAATTCTAAAAACATAAACATAGTAATCATCAATCATGGAATTATACCACCATTAACTTGCTAACCATGCCTTCATGTTTTGTTATATATATAAAAGCATGTCTTCGTGTTAAAGTATCAATATTAGATTTAATTAATTAATTAATTTGTATACATAAATCGTGCAAGCAAATTGCAGTTTTCATGTTTTTCTTGCGTCCGCCAGATGAAGCACCCTTTCCCTTTTCCCTGTCGTAGAGCTCAATTTATTTGTACCTATTACATATTCTCCACAGGCCAATGAAACTTGAAAAAAAAGGAAAAAGGAAAGGCTCCCTTCAATATTTTTTCTCAAGTTTTTATTTTTATTTTTGGCTTTAATTTATTTTCTCAGTGACGAGTAATCTTCAAAAGCCAGCCTTTCCAGCCATGCTCAGTTGCTAAAATCTTTCATATTTTCCTTTCACCAAAAAAATCCCTTCTTCTTCAAGGCCGTCATTATCGGGAGGTAAATTTATTTCCTTAAAAAATTTGTAATTTTTGTTCCTATCATTGATAATGATAACTGAGAATTTACGGTGAAAGAACTCTGCTTTTTTTGTCTACTTCTCTCTTTGTTGAAGGTAAACATGTTCCCCCACATTCTCTTAATTTGTCTTTAAATTTTGAAACTTTATGAAATTTTCTTTGATGGGTGTTTTCAGTTTTTTGCAGAAAAGAAAGAAAAATGTTCCATCTCAGATCAAATCAAGCCTACACAACCGCTTTTTGAGATGTTTTTTCTGAGACAGTTTTATTAACTGTTCAGTTTATGGTAAGGGATCCCTTCTTTACTATTTGTTTATTTTACTTTTTTTTTTTAACTTTCAAAGTCTTAATTGTGCACTTTTAGGTTACAATAGGTGAGTAAACAGTTTGTGTAGAGAACTAAAGAGAAAAAGAACTGAAAAATGAGAGATTTTCCATCTTGTTTCGCTGAAAATGGAGTTCAGGTGGCTGATTTTTCATCAAGTAGTAGTAAAACTGCACAGAATTTGGTTGCTTGTGTTCATCAATGTCGAATTCGGGGTCGGACTTGTTTAATATCTGTTACTTGGACCAAGAGCTTGATGGGGCAAAGGTTGAGTATAGGTATTGATGATTCTGCAAATCAATGTGTCTGTAAGGTTGATGTAAAGCCTTGGTTGTTGTCCAAGAGAAAAGGGTCCAAGAGTTTAGAACCATTTTCTTGTAAAATCGATGTACATTGGGACCTTTCGTCGGCTCGATTCGGATCCGGCCCCAAACCGGTTGAAGGGTTTTACGTCGTCGTCGTTGCCGACAAGAAACCGGTTTTGCTTCTTGGGGACATGAGGAAAGAAGCTTGTAATAAAACCGGTGCAAACCATGTTCCTAAAAGTGCCATTTTGGTGGCCAAGAAGGAGCATGTTTTCGGCAAGAGTGTGTTTGCAACCAAGGCGCGGTTTTGCGACAATGGTCGAGCCCATGATCTGATGATCGAATGCGGAACGCTCGGCGTGACAGATCCGTGCCTTATAATTCGTGTCGATAGAAAGGCTTTGATGCGAGTAGAGCGGCTGCGATGGAAGTTCAGAGGGAACCATACCATATCGGTGGATGGGATGGCCGTAGAAGTGTTTTGGGACGTTCATGATTGGCTCTTTGGAACATCGTTAGGTGGAAATGCTGTTTTTTTGTTCAAGACGGAAGAGAAGCTGCGCTTTTCATTAACTTTGTATGCTTGGAAGAATGAGTAGACAGAAGAAAAGATGTGCATAATTCCCTCTCTGCCCTTGGCGTTTTCCCAGTTTGCAATTTCGTCCTTTACGTCTCCGACAAATCATTTTAATTCAAAATTTCTGTCCGGATTCTTCTTCTTTAATTGTTTCGGCCCTGTTTTTAAATAAAATTTTGGCCCATCATGTTTCTAATTTTAATTCAATTTTTCAGAAAAAGAATCTTTGCAGAGGTAACATCTGGCAGTATACACACAATTCTTTCTTTTTAAAAATACCATATGATACCAAAAAAACATTTGAAAATTTACATTTGATAAAACTAAATTATTATTTATGAGTACATTGTTAATATATATATGATATGATACGATCATCCATAATATTTTTATTTTATTTTATAGAGTGATTACAAGACATTATATGTTCAAAATTTTCTTAAATTATTGATAATGTATATACATCCTACAGATACAATTGTTCGAACTTAAAATCTTTAGAGAGAACAACATTTTTTTTATCAATAAGATCACATGATGAGTTATTCAAATTACCTTTTTATATAGGCTATGGTGATTATAAAGTAATATATGTTTATTATTTATTTATTTTATTAATAATATGCACACGATCGAATATACCTATTTGAATCTAAAATTTTTAGAGAATAATATTTTATTGGCAAAAAGACATCACATATCCTTGTACTCTTTAAGGAAAAAAATTAATGTGACACTCGTATTATTTTTCTATCAATGTGGCCCTTGACTAATATTTTTTTGTCGTTGATTGTCACGGTACTGACATGACAGTCCACAATATTAATATGACAGTCTATAGTGGTAGATTAAGCGATAAATGACATGACAAATTAAGTAAATTGGTAACTTAAACATGATAGATGGACTATCACGTCAACACCGTAGATCGTCGTATCAGAATTGTGAACTGACACGCCAACACTGTAATGATCAACGACAAAAAATATTAGTCAAAAGATCATATTAGATTTATTTTATGAGTTAGAAAAACACGTTAAGGAAAAAATATGAATATCACATTAATATTTTCTTTTCAAAAATACACGAATATATGATATCTTTTTCCCTGTTTTCTTTAATCCCTATCCGAAGTATTGAATACAATTTAATTACATGATGGATCACGATGGATTGTTTCCCCTTTTTAATTTATGAGAGATGCGTCCGTGATTAGCGTTTCAAAACGCGTTTTAGATTCAAAGGAACATAAATACCCCAATCAAAATCATCTCCCTAATTTACTCTTACTTTATTTTTTTACCTAATCACCTTCTATTTAGTAATTCCCATTGCGATAAAAAATTATTAATAATATAAAATTACATGACTTGTTTGAGGGAAATCATTTTTGTTTTCTTAATGTTAATTAAATCAAATGGTAAAAAATGATTTTATTTAATTAAAAATTTTGAGTTTAAATTTCACACAAAAAATATAAATTTTCAATTAAAGAAGAAAATCCTTTTTTATTTTTAAAAAATAAAAGCTAAGAAATATGTGTTATAATGATTTTGTAATACTAAATTTTAATTTTTTATTAAGTTGAGTTGATTATAAAGTAATATGTTTTAAATATCTTTAATTATTTGATAATAAACGCTCAATCATCTTACTACAGATGTTGATACTCAAATCCGTAACCTCTAAAAATAACAACGATTTATTTAATTACTAAAATAAGTTATTTCGCGTTGTAATACTAAATTTTAATTCGTTAAAAACTAAATTTCCCAAATTTTAAATATTGTGAGAATGTTAATTAAACACAAAAAGAATTGATTAAAATAAACATATCCAATGATGAGCTGGCGCATAATTGATAGCTTTCATTTGGAGTTCTCCTTTTAGCTGCTTCCAGGTGGCATCCAGCTGTATGATACCAAATACGAAATTACTCTAAAGCCCTTCAAGCGGCGCCTTTCCCACTTACCATCTCTTTCCTCCCCCGCCCCCCCAAACAGGCAAACACCCAAAGCCACCCGTCAGCTGACCGTTGCAGTGCGCCCTTAACGGTCACTTTCCCCCATATAAATAAAAACAGAGGAAAACGACAAAGGTTGATCAATGGCAAAACAGTCATTCACTCCCCTTCAGGACAACGTTTATCGTGTAATTACGGCACCAATTTGAGGGCTTTTACGACATTTCGTCATTATGTCGAAAACGATTTTTTTTAACGCTAGAGTTTACATTTGAAGAAAGCTTGAGACTTCCATCTCAACGAGTTTCATATTTTTTTGGGCTAATCCATGTTAATCAGTGAGTTTCATTGTGTTTCTCGAAACCGAGTGAATGAAACAAAACGAGTCATGGACGATTCAAGTGACTCAGTGTCTATTGCGATTGATATGGTTCCTTTTGGAGGGAAGGTAAAGTAACTAAACTAACTAACGAAACTGCTTAGAACAAAGCTTCAATCCTTTTTCTTCCCCCTTTTCGAACCATCCTTTTTATTTATTTTTTCAAATTCTGTTATAAATATATAAATAATTTTTTGCAGGAGTTTTTGGTGAAAACAAGCAGAGGTTCTTTATCTGTTTTTGTTTGCGGTGATCTAGAAAAACCCGCTTTGATAACTTACCCGGATGTAGCTCTCAACTGTATGTGTTCATTCCTCGTTTCTTTTTAATTGGAAATATTGGGGATTTCTTGATTTCTATTTTTTTATTTAATGGATTTGCTGCTTTTTCTTCATATATGTTGAAATTGAATCGAGATATGTTGCTTGTGCAATTTTCTATTATTTGATTAATCGCTACTGATTTCTTCATTTCATAAGTTCTTTAAGTGGGTTATTTTGGTTTTTGGATTTCAGTGGATTCTTGTGCTAGTTCTTGAACTCTTTTTGCTTTTTGGGTTTTGATGGATTACGGATTTTGGTTAAAAAATGTTGAATTTTGATTGTCTTTTGATATGTGTTAGTTTTTATTCTTGTTGAATTGTTTACAGACATGTCTTGTTTCCAAGGCTTATTCGTTTGCCCGGATGCCGATTCTTTGTTGCTTCAAAACTTTTGCATTTACCACATTGATGCCCCAGGGCACGAGGTCAGTGACTCAGTTTTAGAGATGTGTTTGTTTGAATGATGGGTTTTGGTTCAATATTCAAATTGTTAAATTGTAGCTTATCAGCTGGCTCTTTCCTTATTAGGTGATACTAATAGAACCTGTATGCCGTTTGCTTAAGAGTTTTTGCAGTTGGGAGCCAATGTGATATCTTCAGATGTTCCATTGCTTAGTGTGGATGACTTAGCAGATCAGGTTGCTGAAGTTCTTGAATTCTTTGGGTATGTAAATGGTTGTTAAATTGTAGCTTTTCTACGCGTGAGTACAATGACTAAGGTGAAATGATTAAGCTAATTTCTGCCCTTTTTATCTTTTAATGTAGTTCAATGTAAATTTCCTTTTCCAAAAATGATTTGGGATACTGATTCTTGTCCCTGAGCCTGAGTAATTTAGGTGTAGAAAATGTACATTTTATATTCTTAACTTGTCCCTCATTTTATACATGTGCTCTGTTAGATGTCCAATATATATACTTGATAAAATTTCACAGGAACCATTGTTCTCATGATATGTTTGTGTTCTATCCATTGTTAATTTTAATTGGTATCATAGTGCACCAAAGTCTCAATTTTATATTAATTCAAATGTATTTTTTTCTCCATGAAATTAAATCAGTAAAGCATATGGACCCGATTATATTTGATATGCAAAAGATTCCGGGAATCATTTTTATATAGGTTGTTGGAGGGAGATATATTTTCCTTCTTTTTTCTTGCATTTTTTCACTGTTATATCTAATTTGAGCTTTAAATATCAGGCTGAAGAGAGTTCTATGCTTGGGTGTAACAGCTGGGGCTTACATCCTTACGCAATTTGCAGTAAGTTGTCATAAGATACAAAAGTCAATAAATATTTTTTGTGCCGATATTCTGATACTGAAGGTGATGATATTTTTATCCCTTGTGCCAGATGAAATATAACGAACGGGTGCTTGGATTAATTCTCGTATCTCCTGTTTGCAAAGCTCCTACATGGGCTGAATGGATCTACAACAAGGTTCTAATTTGCTCAAACTTATAAAATATCACTTTTGGTCATATCTTTAACAGTTATACTGAACCTGCATTGCACTAAAATATCTCTTTTCAGGTGTTGATGAACTTGTTATACTTCTACGGCATGTGTGGAGTATTAAAAGAATGCCTTCTTCAGCGGTATTTCAGTAAGGTAATCAACGTCATTGTTTTAATTTTAATGTTGTGATATTTGTTAGTGTTGTAATTGTGGGATTCTTCTTGTAGGAACTCAGATATGGTATGCATGGTGCAGAGTCTAAGATTGTCCAAGCTTGCCTCAAAGTAAGGAAACTGATAAGAAATGAACTTAGTCATTCTGTTTTCTCTTTAGGATATGATTAGAAGTCATTCTGCAAACACCAGCACTTTGAATAGGCTCCCGGGTAGTGGATGCCAATTTATATAACAAAACAAGAAGCCACATCTAATGCTCATCCATATTTTTAGTTTTAACGATATGATCTGAAGTTTAATGGTGATCCTTTTGGTAATGTGATCTCAGTTATTGGATGAAAGGCAAAGTCCGAATGTTATGCGCTTTCTTCAAGCAATTAATAGGTAAGTTCATGTCATTTATTTCTCTTTCTCAAGCTTCCTTGTCTTGGTGCTGTTTTTAGTCTTTTGCGGACCTAATCTTTCATGAGAAATGAAGGCCTGGATATGTGTGTACCCATATATGCCTCTCATCGTTCTTTTGTGTATTTAACTGCGTTTCCATAGAACTGAGTGAAGTATACATATGCAGGAGACATGACCTTACAGATGACTTGAAGAAATTGCAGTGTAAGACTCTTATTTTTGTGGGTGAATGCAGTCCATTCCATGCAGAATCTGTGCATATGAGTACCAAAATCGGAAGAAAGAATTGCACCCTTGTCGAGGTAGATTTCAATTGGCAGAGTTGATTCTTTCCCATTTCTTTTGTTTTCTTTTCTCTGCGCGATTGATCTACACTGCATAAATTTATTTTTTTGTGGGTTTCTGTTCTTTGATCAGGTTAAAGCATGTGGCTCATTGGTAACAGAAGAACACCCATTGGCCATGCTTGTCCCAATAGAATTCTTTCTACTGGGATTTGGTTTCCAAAGACAACCACATTTTGCTTCCTCATCAAGCAACGGTTCGTACCCTTCCAGTCCATCAAGTCAATCGTGCATAGCTCCCGAACTTCTCTCCCCAGAGGGTCTAGGGATCAAGCTTAAACCGATCAAAACCCGTGCAGATATCAGAATTTGATGAGAGGTCACAAGAGGTACTGTCTCAAAGCTGCTGCTTGTTGATTTTCACACACGTATCTGATGTAACACGGTAGGAGTTGGATTTGACAATATGTAGAATATGTTTTGAGGTTGACAGTATATATATGTATATATATTCTTTGATTGTATTGGTGGGATAAGAAGAGGTTTCAGTGGAGTTCGTTGATATGTTGATTGTAGATATTAGCATTGATGAACATTTTGTACTTAAAAACAGGGATAGGGATTCATTCTTTTGAGAGGATAATACAGATTTATTTGTGTTATATTTGTTGGCATACAAGAATACCTTGTTAGAAATGAAAAATGAGCATTGATTTTGAATTATGTCATTTTAGTGATGAATTTATATTACAAGTGGATAATTGGACTTGGAGAATGTTATTCAGATAGTTCGGATTGAAGGACGAATTCAGTGGGATTCATTTTCTTAAATGATATTTGGATGATTTTCGTTATTATAACAGAACCATTGTCATTCAGCATACTCATTGGGGAAGCTAATAGAATAATTGACGCGTTGGTTAAGAGCGCAAGGATTTACAGTTGATTATGTCGCGTGAAGACTGCCAAAAAACTCAATAACAAACAATTTTGATGATACAAAAGAAATATATATGCATTTTTTGTATAAATTATTTCTTAGATTTCAAACATAGGGTAATCAATTTAATGTAGGGAGTGTTAAAAGATAAATTAGTGGAAAAAATTATTGTTCGTGCTAAAAGTTTCAAATTCGAATAATTACGTCTGTAATGTGTATGTATTCTAAATAGATATTACATTGTCAATGACTAAGTAAAGAGTTTATAGTTTGTTAAGTCTCGTTACTCGTCAGTAAATCATATTTATAATTTAAAAACTATTGTTAAAATAATTCATCAAGCGATTTCGTAAAATTTTCTCCAAACAAATTGGAATTCTGAACAAGAATTAGAAAGAAATCCCTATAGAATATGCTATTATTTAGCTCTTCAAAATAACATTCTATTATTTTAAACAATTAATTTAATATTTTATTAATAAATCATTTAAATAAACACATTATTTTTATTATTTTATTATAAAATATCTTAAATATAATTAAAATAATAAAGGATAATCACTTACTTACAATATTATCAGACACTAATTCATTTTTTTATGAAGATGAAAAGTAGGGCTTGAGCGGGAGTTTATGTTGCTCGACCTCAATAGTAAAAAAGAGTGTTGTTTTCCTTAGATGATTCAAATTTAACCAGTTATATCTACATGATATTTGTGTATTATCAATGACTTAAAAAAGATTCTGAATATATATTACTTATATTTACTCCTAAAGTATTTAAAAATATTATTTGAAAATAACATTATAAAACTTAATCATAAATTATAAACAAATATTAAAGAAGATAATGTTTGAACATTACTTTAAATTGTTACATGTAGAACACACAATTTAATAACGTCATTGATATTTTATTCAATTTTAGTACAGAATTAATACCGAATAACTGTCTGACACTTCACTTCATAAACTTATTTCAAGAAAGTACAAAATTCTCTCGACTGTTATTAATTTGGGTAAAACTAGATTATTATTTTATTGAATCCCTCAATTATTAAAAATTATAAGATAGTCCTTTTATTATATGATATTAGTTTGTTGAGTAACTCGACTAATAAAAGTTATAAAATAATCATATGACTATTCATATGTTTTAAACTCATTTTTTTTCGTTTAAAAAATTGACGGTTCTTTGAGTTGGATGTCAACAAGCTGACTGAGATATGATAATCGTTTGAGATTATATATTTTATCATATTCTAGTCAGCAGTTTAACGTCCAATTTAAATTGTTGTCAATTTTCTATTGAAAAAGAACGAATTTGAAACATATGAATTGTCCGTTGAAGTACTCAACAAAACAATATCTTATACTCTAACAATATTCTTGTGGTTTACCTATTAATTTTTATTGACGATATAAGTCGGTATGGCTGAGGTTTTAAAGCCATTGAAATCGTTGCCACGAGATGAAGTATAAGCTCCCATGTTATGAAACACCAGCTTATCGTCAACCTCCAGCTCCGGCAATTCGAAACCCTTCAAAACTATATCAGCCGAATCGCATGTCGGTCCAAAAACAGTAGAATTCCACGTTTTCATCTCTTTCGTTCTGCCGTTCTTGCCGGCGATCAGAGGAGTGCAGATCACTTCATCATGATCGTACTTCAAAAAGTTCATAGACCCCGAAACGCCGTCGTCGATCCAATACTCCTTGACCTCATCCCTAACCCTTTTCCCTATTACGCTCGTCGCCAATGTGAACGATGAATTAGCGAAGAACCGACCGGGTTCCGCCATGAGTTTTAAGCCTGGTTCGTCGGGAAAATGTTTTTGTAAAGCGAGTTTCACGGCGGAGGCTGCTTCGGTAAATTTCGGACCCGATGTGAAGCCACCGCCGATGTTTAGGATACGCAGCTTAGGCAACCCGAGTTTGGCTGCTGCGTCGAACGTTGTTTTAGCGACTTCAATGGCGTCTTCGAAGGCGTTGAAGTTAATCGCTCTGCTCCCTATGAGGAAAAACAATGAGAAAAGAAGAGGTGAATAGAAAAATGTTGGATGAGTAGAAATGAATAAACAACCTCATGAGGCAGAGATAAAAACATATTCAAGAGGGATAATAAATTCCAACTAAATCTTTTTAGATTTCATCACAATCACACGTTTAAAATTTAAATATATTTAAAAAAAAAAGGTAAATTACATCAATGGCCCCTAATAATAAAGTGCTACTTTTGAATCCCAATCATTAAAAGTTATAAAATGGTCCTTCAATTATAGGGAGTTGTTTTATTGAGTCCTTCGACTATTAAAAGTTACAAAATAATCATTCGACTATTAATATGTTCCAAACTCATTTTTTTTGTTAAAAAAATCTAAGACAGTTTGAGTTGAACATTAACTTGTTGATTGGGATATAATAGTCATTTGAGATTTTGATATCATATTTTACCATATTATAGTCAAATGGTTAATGTCAAGCTAAGACTACAATAAATTTTTTTAACAAAAAAACGAGTTTAGAACACATAAATAGTCGAGTGATCATTTTGTAATTTTTAATAGTAAGTGAACTAAACATAGGAGTATCCTATAGTCAAGAGATCATTTGTCTACTTTACCCTTAAATGTTTTTTAAAAAAAATATATTAACCATATATGCATATAAAAAAGATATTTTTGCATTACTCGTACCTATATGAAACGAGACACCAATAACTTTAAGCTTCGCTTCTTGTGATGCTCTTAGAAGCGGGATGATTTCACCGGGGAGTGCACCGAATTTGGAACCGAACTTGAACGTCGCGCCGCTGGTTTCCGGAACTTTGACTCGGATCAACAGCGCACACTTGGGGTGCCATTTTCTAATCTTTTCTAGCTCGCAGTTCGAGTCGAAAGTAGTCAAGTTAACACCAACTTCAGCCGCGTACTTGATGTGAGGCACCGGTTTACATGTGTTGGCAAACACGATCCGATCAGGCGAAACCCCGAGAGATAAAACGGTTTCGATCTCGGCACGGCTGGCGCAGTCGAAACCGGTGCCGAGAGCGGCCATTTCCTCGAGGAAAACAGGGTTAGGGTTGCATTTAACAGCGTAGAAAGGTTGAACAAGGGGAAGATTATGGAACCATGTGTGGACCAAGGACCTTATGGCACCCAAATCCAGCACGTAAAATGGGTTCGTTTCGTGTTGTTTTTGGTTCGAAATGACCACCGATCGAATGAAACGAATCAAATCGTGTTTGGATAAAGGTTTTACCGACCCATTTTCCATCAAGTTTGGTTGAGTACCCTCCATTGGAGTAAGCTTGGGGGACTTGTATGAAAGAAAGGAAGAGTAAAAGAAATCAAAAGCGAGGAGTTGTGAGTTGGGGAAACTATCAAGAAGGCCCCTTTTTATAGAAATGGTCTTATAATTGTAGGTCCATTCGTGTCGGCAGTTTGATTCAACGTTTTGAATAGCTTGGTAAAATGTTACTAGAAGGGTAAACAATATAATGGTTGTCCCTTGTTCTCATATGTAATTGGGAGACCTCCGAATTATGAAATGCCCTCCATGTGACTCGATCACACGACCTCAAAGTTAAGAACCTTGTGCTCTACCAACTGAGCTGGATGGTCATTTTACTAGAAGGGTAAACAAGCTTTTCCTTAATAGTACAGTTAAACATCCTTCTTAAATGGTTAGCCTAAAATCCATCTTTCAATAATTTTTTCATTTCCCAATTTTTATTGGGTAAACTAATACGAAAGTCACTTCTATTTTGTTGTTGTCTTATTTTGATCACCGAATTTAAAATTGTTCCATTTTAGTCACTTAAGTTTTCTTGGACCTTTAGAATCACTTGCTGTTGAGTCCCTGATTCAATTTAGGTATAGTCCAATTAAGGTCAATGAACCTTTAGAATTATTAACAATGCTCCTCAACACTTGTTGGGAACTTAGAAATTGTATCAAAGATACACTCACTTATGACATATTTTTCATGTGAAATAATAGTCGCTTTAATACTTCCAATGACAAGTTCGCGTAATTTTCATCATCTATAAACGAATATCTTGAAGATCAATCCCACGTTGGGTTTTTCACAAGCACACATCATTAAAGTTTTAAAAGCAACATATTATTTAAAAATTATTCAAATTTTTATTCAATTTAATAATGTCATTAATATATTTGTTCTCTCGTATTGATATTCCCTAAGGTTATGAGTTCTAGACCACTACTAAGAGCATTCTTATTCCTTTCCCTGGACTCTCCCTCTGGGTAGGATTAAGATTAGATTCAGAATATGTCAAAAAAAATTAAATTCTAATGTATAAATACCTTTACTTAGAGTTCTTAATCCCCTATAAATTAGTCCTTAATCTTTTACTACCATTTAATTCTTTAATTGAATATATTATGGAATATTTAATTTTACAACTCCTTTTATTTATCTATATTTAGTTAATCTTACTTTAAGTAAAATTAATCTTACTTTTCGAAAAATCATTTGGACTCAAAACCAATTTTCGAAAAACCAAGGAAAAACTAAATCAACTACTCGATTCTTTATCCGATTCTACTAACTCGAATTTTAGGATGTTACAAAATGTGGCATGCATTTGGTGTCTTTTATAATCGAATTATGATTGTTTAAGTTTAGATTATGTTTGTATGTCTTTCTAATTACTTGGTTTTGTCAAAGCTTAAGGTTATGCCTAGGTGTGCTTGAATTAATGTATGATCAAATGAGTGAATATAAACTATTAGTATAGTAATAAGCATGATAGTTGTTATTGGTTTGATGAATGCATTTTCTAAGTGAGACATTAAAAGATGTATGCTAAATCAATTGTAGCAAGTCACCTAGTAAGGTAAGGATTGAAAGGAACAATGCATGTTTGGTTAATAATTGAGCTTGAGATCTTGACAATCCTATGCTTATGTTATGTTTGCTTATTTTATTTTGTGGTGTAAATTGGTGCCCTACTGTTTCGGAGTGACTATTTTAATTAACTTTTGTGTAAAAGATCAATTTCTTGGTCCCGATAAAAGCTAAAAATCACGTGATCTATAAAGTCCGTAAAACCCAACTACCAATCCCTTTACGCATCCATCGTTAAAAGTTAACAAAACTGCTTACATGACATTTTCTTAAACAAATCAGTGTTGACGTAGCATTATCTTATGGTGATACATCCACATCACTATTAATTTTTAAATGGTGAGTGACCAAAATGAAACCAAAACGTAAATGTTAGGTATGATTTTAAGACAAAAAATAGTTAGGTAATCAAAATGGAATAAAAGTAATAATTGAGATACTAAATGTGTAGTTGACCCTATTATAATTAGTACTTTCCTTCTTTGTCTCCGTCATCTTCATTTACACCTCATGACACTTGAATCTTTTCCTCAAACCCGCCTCCTACTCATTTTTTTTTGATCCCATTAACGTTGTACATATCTGGAGTCAGAAAATCTTTTATGTTATATTAAATGTATATTTATTTTTTTATATATTTTTTAAAAAATCATAAAATTATATGTGTCACTTTAATAATAATCTAGCTTCGCCGATGATTAATATGATATTTCATATGTATATATATTATAACAATCTTTTTTTATTAATATATGATAATCAGAGTCGTCTTGGAGATTTTTAGGGTCCTGAATAACTCAGCAAAAATTTAAAAATAAGGCTCATAGAATGAAAATATCATTAATTTAAACAATTAATTTAATATTTTATTAATAAACCATAAGAATAATTAAACTTTATCAAATACATTATTTTCATTATTTTATTAAGAAAATAAAACTAAAATAATAAGGGACGTTCATTAACTTACAAGTTTGTCACTTGAAAAATCTCATCCTCCGAGCATTCTTTGAAACAAATTCATCAATCAAGTCTTCATAAACAACTTTATCTAAAATCTCATTCCCGATTGCCACAAGAGCTAGTTCATTAAGTCTTTCTTGTGACATAGAACTACGCAAATAAGATTTGAGCAATTTTAACTTCGAAAAACTTCTTTCGGCAATTGCAACTGTCACATGAATGGTTAACAATATTCTTGAGACTTTGTTCTTCCGAAAATTATCAAATCCAAAAGTCCAAAACATCAAATGTTCTTCTTGAATTTGAATGAATTGAATTGTGGGTATGGTATAAATAAGAAAGATATATATATATATATATATATATAGTATATTTAGATTAGAATTAAATAAATGAGAAAAAAAATCTAATTATGAGAAATTAAAAATATTTAATTATTTTACCGTTAAAGCTTTGAGTTGTGTGGTAAATTAATGAGTTAAAATAAAAAATGGACCCATCAATTATATATGAATTTATAATATATATATATCACATGTACCCTTTAAAGTTTTGGACTGTTAGGAGCGAAATTAAATGTGAAATTATGGATATGGGCTCCATGATAATATCACTATTGCTTTTGATAACTAATATTTATATAGAATGGGGCCCTCATCGAGCAATTTAGAAGGGGCTGAGAAAGTGCTCAGGTTGCTCTCTTCAAAAGCCGACTCTTATGGTAACTATATGTAGTATTATTTGTTCTAAAGATTTTTAATAATTTATCAATGAATGTTTAAATATTATGTAGTTGTCGGTATTTGAATCTAAAATCTTTAATAATATCAATTATTCTTTTAATCACTGAAGTCGCTTAATTCGTGCATATTATATCATTCTAAAGATTATGGCATTAGATTATATATTGTATTAATATTTAATTATTATGAAATTTTGATTATCAAATTCATTATTATTATAATAAATAATGTTAGATTAAACGAATTACAGACACCCGTCTTTAAAAATGATTGTTAAAATTTAAAATTTAAATTAAATTGATCGATTTTAAAATGTTAAGGATCAAATGACGATTTTATCAGGAAAAAAACCGATTGTAAACTAATGGAGATTTTGAATTTTTGATTCATATTTAACTGTTGTACCTTAGTCGACTACAACATCCAGAACAAATTCACTCGCCACCTTGTTTCTCTGTCTCAAAGGTGGCATAAAGAAGAGGAAGAAGAAGATACCTACAACCGTCTCAAAGGGTCTGTGTTTTAATTGATTATTATTATTATTATTAATTTTATTTAAATTTTTGTAGACCAAAATACAAGCCTAATGTAGCCAACCTAAACATAACTAGGGTTTTGTCATGTTCCCCGGCCGCCAGACCCTTTCAGCCGTTGGATCTGTGCTTGATCCAATGACCTAGATGATGTGATACTAGGGTTTCACCCTAACCCTAGCTTCTGCCACAACTGTCGCCACCAACTGTCGTTGCCTGCTCCTGCAACCGCCATCGTTTCATTCGGGCTTCAACACATCAATCAATCAAAAGAGAGCAAAAAAAGTTTGCAATTTTTTTACTCAGATAAAACAAGAACAAATCAAATCAAAGTGATGAAAAAAATCATATCCATAGCCACCCTACCCAACCATCAAATCGAGTCTCACCATAAAACTCGAGGAAGATTCAAACAAAAGGGGACCGAAAAAGAGGGATTCAAAAAAAGAGAGGAGAATCGAACAGAGAGCAATCCAACAACAGAGGAGAAAAAAGAGAGAAAAACCAAAACTAAGAGGGAAAAAATCAAACCTTTATTTGGGTTTGAAGCCTCATATCGAAGATCCCTTTAGTCAAAGTCTTCATTGGTGAATAGGAACAACATAACTTGACGAGGGTTTCATCAGACGGTTGGATCGACGACCACGAGAGGTAAACTCTTCGGTTGTGAACCATTCCACTATCCGCCACTCCACTCACTCATCTGAATCATTCACCACCATTTTTACAATCACCAACTAACAACACCAAACACCCCACTATCCGCCATCACCAAAAATCAATCTGTGAACCACCCTTATCATCAATGTCCAAAATCCCCAAAAGAAAATTAACCAAATAATTATCCTTTAACAAACCTTAAACCAACGACCCAAAAAGGAGTGGAAAAATTGTCATCGACTTCATGTCTATACGGACTATAGAAATCTTCACAATCAGTGACGATGGAGCAACTCTTTTATTATTTTCTAGGGTAAACAAATTTCATTTTAGGTAATTTTTATTTGCTTTATTTGTTTTCTCTTTTTCTTTTAACATATATTTTAATGATTAAAAAAATTAACTAAGTCAGGTTTAATGTCGTTGAAAGTTAACGACATAGTGATAAAAAAAGTTCAATGTCTAAAGTTCAGTGAGCAAATTGAAAAAAAATGAAAGTACGGTAGTGAAATAGAAAAGAAAATAAAGTTTAGTAAGTAAACATGTAATGTACCCATAAAATATTA